CGTAATGAACGGGAGGCCTAGAAGCCCAGGTAGATCTTCTAAGTTGGGTGTTATCTGGAACTTGTGGGACATCTTCCACTACTCCTGAGCTCTCTTCATCAAGAACAATCTTCTAACGATGATTGTCCAGGATGTAATATTCTTCCCAAAAGTAGGCATTTTGAGTACAAAACACTTTTTGTTCTCTTGGGTTATAGAATGGGTAACCTACAGAGCTTTTGGGGTAGCCTACAAATAGGCAACGACTGGTCTTGGATTTCAATTTGTCAGCACTTGTTCTTTTAACATGTGCCAGACAACCCCAAATCTTCAAGTGTCTTACACTTGGTTTATTACTGGTCCAAAGCTCATAGGGAGAAGTGAATAGACCATATCTAATAGAGTCCGGTTTCTCCTCTCCGACACACCATTTAATTATGGTGTAATAAGAGGAGGTAGTTGTGATACAATCCCATTGTCCTTTAAGTAGTCTCTGAATTCGTTGGAGAGATATTCACCTCCTCGATCTGATCGAAGGGCCATAATCCGTTTTCCCAACTGTTTTTCGACCTCTTGTCTGAACTCCTTAAACTTTTCAAAGGATTCAAACTTGTGTCTCATTAGGTATACGTAATGAGACCACATACATCAGTATGTATCAGGTCAAGTGTGCACATAGATCTTTCAGGCTTTCTTGCAAATGGTTGTTTCATTATCTTACCCTGAAGGCAAGGTTCACAAGTTGGAAGATCTTCTACAGATAGAAAATCCAAAGGACCATCCTTTACTAATATCTGATGCGATTTATGTTAATGTGGCCAAGTCGGTAATGCCACAGGCACATGGTATTAACCGTATCATGTGATCTTTTCTTGGGGATAATTTCCAACGTAGTTTCGGTTATATTTGTTTCCAAAGAAGGACAGAGGATATAGAAACCATTCTCAAGTTCTTTGTAAGTAAGGAATTTGTTATTTAGTTTAATAGTAATTGTATTATTAAACAATATAGAATAACCATCATTGCACAATTTTGAAATAGAAATCAAATTTCTTCTCAAAGTAGGTACATAAAGACATCGACTGTAGTTGCAACTGTTGCAGAAGTCCCCAAGTAAAGCGTTACTTCATTGTCATTCAATCTACTTATTTTGAACCCCTGCAACGTGTTACATGCATGAGTAGAAGCCTCAAATTCAATACATCAGGATACAAAAGTGACCAACATATTGGTCTTTATGACAAGAGATTTGAAATTACCTTCTTTCTTCTTGGTCTCCAGATACCGAGGATGGTTCCTCTTCCAATGTTCGGTTTGCTTGTAGAAGTGACATGCATCCAATGCCTTGTCTTTCTTTTGCTTTTTGGGCTTTCTAGGTTTCTTATGAGGTTTCTTCTTAGGCTTCATCTTTTTCTTGCCCGACTTGCCACCTTCAACAAGCATGGCTATCGACTTATCCTTCTTTATCAGTTCTTTGGCCCTCTGCAACATATTGTTGAGTTCCTAAAGGCTAACTTTTAGCTTATTCATGTTGTAGTTCATGATAAACTGATTGAAGGAGGGAAGCAGAGAGTTTAAGATTGCATCAGTTTTGGTGTCGCCATCTAGCCTAGAACCAAGAGCCTCCAATTCGTTAATGTAGCCCATCATTTTCAAACAATGGTCATGGACCTATTGGCTCTCAGTCATCTGTGTGGTCATCAAAAGTTTGAGGACCTTCTATCGAGTATAACGATTCTACTCCTCGTACATTGTCCTTAGATTATCCATGATATCCTTGGACACTTCGATATTATCGAATTGTCTCTGTATCTGATTGTCTAAGGGTGCTATGATGTAACACCGAGCAAGAGAGTTCTTCTTCTCCCATTCCTGATACTCTTTCTTACAGGCCTTAGAAGCCCTATCACCCGGACGTTCTAGTATAGGATTTTTGGCAACCTTGTCCAATTTCTCAAACGTCAGAACCAGCATAAGGTTACGAAACCAGTCAACATAATTAGGTCCCTTAAGCTTATTGTCATCCAATAATTTGGCGAATTGTCCATTTGCCATTTCTAATAAAAGGCAACACAAATTAGTCCATGAACTAAAATTGATTCATGTTAGCTACATAAAAAGGTTTTTTATCTATGTTCTATTTCCATTTGTTAATCTCTTAAAATTTCCTCCTATTTCAGTGACAGAGACACGATTATGTCTCTGGAAATGTGGGAAATCACATAGGTACATAGAGCCAACTGTTTTAACTGTAAAACCCCACCACTTTCTGTGAATGATCTTATCTACTCATCTAATGAGCTTTCCCTTTGGCCTTTGTTAGACAAGGTTCATTGCCATTTTAGGTTAAACATTTCTATCTAGTAAGTGTTGACCCGTCATATCGTGGACACCAAGTGTGATGGTCCGGAAGAACTGCAAACCTGCAAGAAAAGGGTTAGTCGTAGATTGAAGATTTCATAATTGCAAAAATCTCTTTTTCTCCTCCGCACTCTTCAACATGTCTTCTAATGTAAAAAATAGAAAAACCTAATTTTCTATTAATTACATCAGATCAAATCCTATACATATTGTCTAAAATATATATATATATATATATTTACGGACCAAAAAGAATAGAAAAATAATGCTGGGTACGCAATTCTTGGCGCCATTAAAGAATTCAATCTTCATCACACAAATAGCCCAAGAATCCAAGAAGTAATTATAGAACCATTCTAAAATTATTTCAGAATAATAAATATTTAACTTCAGATCAAGACACCCAATTTTGAGAACCGATAGAACAATTCTGCCAATTTGGTCTGCTTCATATCTGATTTAAATTTGGTTTAAGATTTGAACCTGGCTCTGATACCACTGAAGGGAAGGGGGATCTATCATATGGATGGCCGAACCATGCAGGGTGGCTGGGCGAAATTTAAAAATTTCTTCTCTCCCTTCCGGGAATTGTATTCTCTGTTTTAGAAAAAAATGCATTTTTCAATGATCGTTCTTGAAACAAACCGGACCAGATCTGAAACCAAAAGAAAGTAAGAGCAATACCTGATACAGAATCCACACGTGTATCTCTTAGAGTAGGTGTTCACGCCCAAAGAGGGTACCAAAACCCGCTCCAACTGAAGATGGCGCAGCATGAGATGAAGCAGGTTCAACAATGCAGTCCTTCAGTAAGAACTGCAATCCAACAGCTTGGATCGAGCAAGGGGGTATGAGCAAGAAATCTTATATGATTTTCTTGCAAAATTAGAGGTAGGAACTGAATCTTTATCAATCCAAAAACTGGAGATCGAATTAGGGTTTGGACGGTAAGAACAGAGGGAGAGAACTGAGAACAAAAAAGGTGTAAACAGAAGCAGTTCGCCTCCTCTATTTATAAGCCTTAAAGATCAACTTCTCCTAATCCAAATCTTTATCTAGTTAATTATGGGCCTTAGGCCCATTAAGCTAGCAGGCTCACTTCCCCTTTTAATTGTTGGATAACTTGGTTTTCTTTGTATGGCATGGAACCCTAACGTTGACTTCACAAAAGCCATATGGGTTCAGCCTAGCCTCTGTTACAAGGCTTGGCTGAATTAACTGTTAAACACAATGAACCCCTAACTCTCCTAGTATGGGTTCTTAATGGGCCCAACAGTTACATTAGATAGTCCTTGAGTCCAACCATCTTATGAAGGCCCAAGGACTATGGTCTTTAGTGAGATTAGCCCATTAGGTATAAAAGCCCTAAATGGTCTTACACTTAACCTCTCAACCCATAATGATCAAACACTGCCCGACAAGAAAGGACTTCTCCCTCGGTTGCAAGGTACATTGTCGCACTCTTTGCTCAGATGGATCCCGGGAATTAAAACCTTTTGCAAACCTTTTCATAAAACATAATATATATATATATATATATATATATATATATATATTACAAAAACAAATCTCAAACACGGTTGGAATCGATTGTCGGCAGTTTTGGTTTCCACCAAAGAGAGTGTAGTCCCCGATCGTTCACTTTGTTCGACAAAGAGGCTGATTTTGTCTCTATGATCACCCACTCAAGTGAATTCTCAAACTGCCCCAACATACCCAAGTTTTGACCCCCGAAGAATCTCACTAATTGTCATATCAAAGACAACCTAATCTAATACATAGTGCAGTACCATAATTGAGTGTAGGGGTTAGGTGTAACTTTTCAGTTTTGCCCACCATCTCCAAGGTTTAGGTATAACTAGAAATTGATCTGGGTTCAGTTTTTCAAGCAAATACATACTACATGTGCTTCGGGTCTAACCCTAGCTGTTAAGACAAGATACTCCAACCAACTTGCAGCATATTAGTGTCAACATTGGTAGGATAAAACTCCCTAGGTCTATCCAACAACTAAGAACATTCTAAACTAATACGAGTCTCATAAGTGTCCAATTTAAAGACATATAAACATACCAATTATAATATGAATCAATTATATACTTTTATTTATTTACAATAAATGTTTAATATAAATCAATTTGATTAGAACTAAGGGCATACACTGTCTTACAGTATGTACGGGTTTTGACGGAATATCAAGGGATGCTAACCATAAAAGTAGAACTACTCAAATTTCCAAAACAACCAGCATAGCATTAAATAATAGTCAAACAATAGAGGTATGTTTACTCAATTAACTAGATCATTACGGTAGTTTAAGAAATTTACTATAACTAGTAACCACTTGTAGAAGAAGGGGTTTGCGAATGAGAGGAAGGGGACGAGGGTAATATTAGGTTTTAAAAAAAATTAAAAATCACATGGTATTATGTATGTACTGGTTTTGACGGAAATTTTCCTTAAAAAATAATCAAGCAGTAGACTTCATTAATTAAAACATAAGGGTAATTTAAAAAAGTTACTATAACTAGTAACCACTTTGACCACTGTTATCCACTTAACGGCATTAATCTCGACGGTGACTGTCAGTGTTTATTGAACCTCCCTTCGCAGACGTTAACGTAACGTCGTCGTTAGAAACCTGTCACTGGATGGGCGCGAGAGAACGGAACAACGCCCCATCTATTCAGAGCAAGTATATATGTATGCGTCGCGCCTTTCCTACTTCCGATCGCCGAGAAATCGATCCTTCTGGCTCTTGCCTTGCTTTTTAAAACCCCAATATCTCTTTAAAATCCTAAATCCCCCATCCATTTCAATACTTCTCTTTCTGGGGTTTGAGCAATCGGGGCTAATTTCAAGTGTTTTTAATTTTTCCGGAAAGATTTTGCGGGATTTCGTTGGATTACTTGAGATCCTACTGGTTATCGATCTAAATCTGGATTTCGGATGTGTGGAGCATGATCTTCCGGCAAAATGATCAGATTTTTCGGCAAATAAATGTGGATCATCGGCGAGGTGGGTAAGGTCAGTTGTTTATCAATGGACTCCATAGTGTTTGTCTTAGTTGATGTGAAGTTTGGCGTAGTTTTATAGTTGGAATCTTTTTGTTATTTTTACCCTCAATAAAAGATTGGGTTTTGCGAAGATTTGTTTGTGAGATGAGTTGCTTGCTTTTAGGTCGCCCCAAGATCACGAAGAATTTAGGAACTTAGGGTTTTGACATATTTTTTAATGATGGGCACGGAATTTTATAGATCTTGAGGTTTTGTATGTTTTTTTAGTAAGAAGGTTTTTTTCGTCGGTTTCCAAGATTGGGAAAAATCCACGGAATTCGTTTATCATAAATCCTAAAAGCATAGCTGAAAATTTCTGATGTTCTTGTTTGGGAACATATTTATTTATCTTTTAATTAGATTATCTTTTTTTGGTTGAACATGCGTACATAGTCAAAAGTTTTGGTCTCAGAAGCATCGTAGTTCCCCGACTGAGCTTCAAAAGTTCAGCATAAGGTTATGTTCTCATGTTCATGTTCAGATCTCGTCCAATACTGCATCTATCTTCCTTAGTCCAGAAGCCTTGAACAATTACTGTTTTATTACTTAAACACCAGATTTTGATTCAGAAGGCTGGTTTAGTTATCAAAGACAGAAGACAACCAGAGGTGGTTTCTTGGGTATGCTGTAGAATATCCTTTCTTTCATAACTGGAAATTTGAAAGACAGGGCGAACAAAAATGCAGTCAAATCGAATTTATTATGCTGATCTTAGTAATGATGTGGATCAAGGCGAGTTTGACAAAATTCCTGATTCAGTAGTTCTTATAATCCTCAACAAGCTTGCTGACATTCGGTCTCTTGGGCGCTGCACTGCTGTCTGCAAGCGTTTCAACTCCCTCGTGCCCTATGTCCATGATGTCTACATCAAGATTGACGAAGTTGTAACAATCAATGGCGACAGTGACGAAAGCTCATATTCTTCTTCCCACAAACCCCGTAATTTCTTCTCCAATCTCCTCAAATACATGTTCTTGAACCTTCTCAAACCGTTCCATCATTTAAGAAACAACAGCAACACAAACAAAACCCTTCTCCCCCAAGTCTCTCAGTGTACTCTTGATCAAGTCCTCAGGAATTTCCATCACATTCACAATCTATGTATTGAATTACCAACTGCTGATGTTGAAACTGAAGATGGGGTTCTTCTAAAATGGAAAGCAGAGTTTGGAAGCACACTCCAAAATTGTGTTATTTTGGGAGGCACTCAGATTGAAAGGAAACCAGTAACTGATCAGGGATCACTTGAGGACAATGGGAGTATACCAGAATCATTTTACACGAATGGGGGTTTGAAACTGCGAGTTGTGTGGACTATTAGCTCATTAATTGCTGCTTCTACAAGGCACTATTTATTGGAACCAATTATCAAGGATCATCCAACCCTGAGAACTGTGGTTTTTACAGATGCAGCAGGTCAGGGAACCTTGAGCATGGGTATCGAGCAGCTAAAGGAATTTAGGGAGAAACCCTTGGCTGCATCAGCCTCTTCGAGACGGACTCAAGTGCCAGCCTCAAACATGAAATTGAGGTATGCTCCATATTTGGATCTTCCAGAGGGATTGGGCATGCAAGGGGCAACACTGGTGGTTATCAGAACATCAGGAGAAGGCAGTAGGAGTAATAAAATGGAGGTAGAGGCATTTGTTCATGGGGCGTTTGACGGGCCATTCAAGGCAGCAGTGAAGGCATTGGTGAAGCGGAGAACTTACCTCTTGGAGATGAATGGCTTCTAGACTTAACTACAGTTACATGGTTAACAGGCTGCTTTGTCTATTCAAGTTAGCAATTCAGTTAATTTACGTGAAACTAATGAAAAACTTCAGACAACTCTTTTAGCCAACTATAAGATCAGAGTGAAGGCTGCGAATTCAGTTGCTGCGTTTCCAGGGAGATGTGGTTTCTGTTTGGATCGGGTAATCGTTTATTTTTGTGGTTCCCGTCTGTTGCTTCTCTGGTTTTTGTATATGTACAGTGAAAACTGATTGAGAGGTGTTTCCTATCTTATGTATAAAAACAAATAGGTATTGGCGGCTTAGCAATTAATTGGCAATTTGGCATATGAAGTTGAAAATTTGAAATGACTTTTTAACATTTTGAAGAGACCTCGCCCGAGGGCCCTGACTTGGACACTAAGGACAAATTGGCACTACACATTTAATGACATCTGTGATAGATTGAATGCAAGTGCAGTGCAAACAAAGGTTGCAGATTCAGAGTGGGCAAACCGCAAACACAACTTTCAAAGTGATTTGTGCACGGGGAATAAGAAATTGACTTGCTGGTGAAGCTAGTTTTTAGTAGCTTCGGGTGGCTGTCAATACATCACAACCGAAGCTGAAGCCTTCCCAAATAGGCTCTGAAATAACTTTCACCGCAAAACTTTTTCTTTTTTAGTTGAAATATTTGGGTTTTCCAGATTTTTCACCAAATAAAGCTTATATAGGCTATTTATGTGAGACTCGAAAAGCGACTGCATGAAATCCCTCTCAAATGGGCACTGAAATGAATGAATGGTGAACAGGTTTGTAGTTCAAATCAATTGTATATGTACTGATAATTTAAAATACCTCCCATGGGTATTTGGGTAGGGAAAAGTACGGACAGGCCTAATTCACAATTCAGAATTTCAGCCCAGTTAATACAGAATCTAAAAAGACATAAATACAATTTTTGAAAACTTGGGACAGATTCCCATGTCACATTCTTCCTTATTTTTCTTTTAATTTCGAAATTACCCTTGACATGTAATGACTAAAATGATCCTGCTTAAGGAAACAAGGGTCCATTGATCTCTTCCACTCTCCTCTTCCTCTCTTTCGTTATCTCTCCCACCCTCAACTCTCTTCTTGGAACTTTGTTCCAGAAATTTCTTCTTTTTCTTCTTCTTCTTCCCTCTGTCTAGCTCTCTCTCTCTCTCTCTTCCGTTCTCCTCCCTCTCGTAAAACTCTAGTAAAAACTCTTCCCAGAAATTTCTTCTACAACTTTGTTCCAAAAATTTATTCTCTTCTCTCTCTCTCCTATAACTCTAAGGTCATTCTCTAAACATTTTCATTTTTAAAGCCAGCCCTAAAGCATTACAACTTGTCGATTGAATGTCGGTGTGACTAACGGGTAGATCTCATTATTGTTCTCCTCAATCCAATCTCTAATAAACCATCAAAGTTTTATGTAAGTTATCGTCATCATTTTTTATTTTCCAGAATAACTTATTATGCTTTGCAAAGTCTACTAGTTATTAAAAGTTAGTCATTTTCTTTTTCAAATAAAATCATCTAGACACTAGATTAGTTCTTGCTAACGTAGTTCTAATTTTATGGTACTCTGTCAGTATATAGCTTTATTAAGATGATTGTCCTATTTTTTATGTTCAGAAACCTATTTCTAAGGCTTCGTATTTGACTTGGAGTTTCAACCAATGGGCTTATTTTAGCTTGTATGGAAGTTGGGGTTTTAGTTTATGGTTATTTAACCTGATATAGAACTATAGGTTCATTCGATTTTGATATTTGGAATTTAGTAGAAATTGTAGATGAAAATTTGATATGTAGAAAAGCTTTATATTTCCAAATAATTGTCATTACCGAATGATCTCTTGTAGCTTCAAAATCAAGATTTTAATTTCTTACTCAACCCCATATAATATAGTTGTGCAAGGCTCTGATGATGATGAGCTAACTGGCCATGGTTGTTACCTTCATTGATCAAAGGCATCACCAGCCTAATTGTATAACCAACTGCTAAGGATGTTGCCTTCATTGATCAGAGACATCACTGGCTTAATTTTATAACCAAGTGGTAAGATTGTTACCTTACTTCATTGATCAATGGCATAACTAGCTTAATTGTATAATGAGTGCTTCTTGATATAAGATGTTGAACCTTGGATGAACCCCTTACCGGGTAGATAGGTTGCTGTGAGTGGATATAGTTGGATTGCTTTGCACCTGTTTGTCTCCTTGCCTTGTTTTGTTATTAAGTTGTGTTGTCTGTCCTAGTTCAACTAATAAAAATGACTGTTGAAGAAAATGAATTTTTTTTTCTTTTTATTATTTTGTTTTCATTTTTTTTCTTTGGGGTGGGGAGTAGGGGGAAGGGAGATCATATTTTGTTATGGTCACACCATAAAGATGGACATGGCATAATAGTTGCATCTATTGTATGTTTACACTCCTTGTATTAGGCTTATATGCTTTAACATTTAATAATAGTTGCATCTTAATAAACATTTATTGAGATAGATTTAAGTTGTTAGGTAAATTGATTGGCAAGGACATGTCACCCTCAATTTCCTTGATGTTGCAAAGTGATGATCCTTTCAATAGCGAGATAAGATGGTCCTAATTCAGAATTTAGAATTCTAACCTAGCTATAGTGTGTCTTAAAAAGACTTGTAAACATAACTTTTGGAAAGTTTGGACAGATCTCCATGTCATGTTATAGATTATTGTCTTGACTGATTAGGTGTCATGACAATATGGCTTCCATGTCACTTTGCATAAAACTTACAAAAACTAAAATGTTCTTATTACAAAAATAAGGCTCATTTGAATCCATCTCTCCCTCTTTTCTCCAATCACTATATTCTTTCCCTTCCTTTGTATTCCTACAACTTGAGCTCATGAACTATCTTGAATTTTATGTTAGTAAGGGTATGAATGAATATATGAAAGTCATTTGCACATTACTTACCTTTACATATGGTTCTTCATACCCTAAATGCTATCTTTGTGAACATTTACCTAACTGCTAAATTGATAAAATTTACTAAGATGTGATGAAGGGTTAGTTGCATTTTGATCACCATCATAGATGTTTAATACTGTTCCATAATGAATTAGACAAAATCAAAAAAATCTTTTAGTGATCTCTTTCCCATATTGGCCTTGAATGCTTTAACTACTAAATTGGTAAAATTTTACCAAGATGGGATTAAGGGATTGATTTATACAACATATGAAAGTCTTCCCATGCATATACATTCATCTGGTGATGAATCAAGTTATCAATTACATAAGTCAAATAATGTGATTGAAAAAAATTGCACAACACCCCTATTATTTTTTGAGAATAAGTATCAATTATATACAATAAATAAAGTACAACTAGAGGTTGTACAAAGAAGTTACAAAACATAATTAAACTACAATCCCATTGGGAGATACAAATATGCTTTTTAAAAAAAGAAAAAGACTTGTAGAGGCAACTATCAACTTTAATTGAAGTCAAATACCAAGATTACACATAATAGTATCAATTACATATTAATCACTTCCTTACATTGGTCTTGAAGGTTTGAATGTACAAATTGCCAATCATGTAAATATTTACAATAATGGGTATGGTATATTGGCCAAGTCCATTAGTATTAGTAACTTTCACTCTCATTTTAATTTCTTTTTGTAACATAAAGATTTGTTTTTTTATCATATATAGTAATGGTTATTGTATACTCACAAGATAAAATTCCTCTAGCAAAGCTAAGCAAAGATATACCCATTCTTTAGTAGATGTATGGTATGTATGACCTACCCCTGACAACTATATATTTCTATGTTGTAACCTTTTTGCTCCTATTTAATTTTTGTCATTTATAATGTGCTTTTCAAAATTTCTTATTTGGAGGCTTAAATATAGTTTTCCTCTTAAAAAATCAGTTATGGTTTAATTATACTATTTTTTTATTATTTGTGACAATTTACAACATGAATGATAATTGTTACATATCTTTATTCTTAAAATCCTTTCCTTATGCCATATTGGTAAATGTTTACTAGGTTGGCGGTTAAGGCATTAAAGTTAAATTTTGGAAGGTGAGTAAAGTAAAATTGACACTTAATGTATGATATTGTTTGATACTTTGTGGCATAACATAAAAATGAATAATGGGTTTACTAATCTTAGTAAATATTTACCAAGATGGATGTGAATTATTGATAAAATTGATTGGTAAGGACACACCCTCTATTTCTCTTCATGTTGCATGGTGATGATCTCATAAATAATTATATGTTAGTTCTAGTTATTATAGGCTCAACCTTTACATTTTAGCATTATTTTCCATGACTGCTAACCTTGCACAAATTTATCAAGATAGGTTTGGGTTATTAATTGCATTGATTGCCATAAAAATTACACTTTCATTTGGCTTTTATGTTTCATGGTGATGATCTCCTTAACAACAACATAATGGTGTCGATGTTCATCCTTCCTGTGTCAGCCTTAAATTCCAACCTAACCATAACATAGTCGAAAAACACATATAAATCCACTATTTGAAAAGATAGGAGAAATTCTCACACCACGTAGGAATTATTGTCTTGGCTGATTTGGTGTCAGGCCAACATTACTTCGATTTTAGTTTCTCATTTCCCCTTGAAAAGATAAAGATTAAAATGCCTTTATTATAAAACATGTCTTATTTGAAGAAAATGCAATCTCATCCTCGTAAATGTTTATTAGGTTGGCACATACCATATGTGCCAAATGGCTGTTAAGAACATGGTGTATACACAATAACCAATACTATTATATCACTGCCTTTATATTAATAGTGATGAAACAATATTACACATTTGTGATAGTTTTTGCATGTTTTCAAATTTAAAATTAACCCCTTTATCCCATATTGGAAAAAATTTACTAAGTTGACACATATAGCCCATATTTGCTAAATGGCCATTGAGGAGATGGTGCACATAATAACTAATGTTGTTATGCTATTGTCCTTGATTTGATTGCAATAAAACATAATATTAAAATGAGGATGACCATGTTCTCTCCAATGAACTTAGCCAATACCCTAAATCTGTCTTGATAAAATTTACCAGGTTAGCAGTTAAGGCATATAATGCCACTAGTAAACATGTATGTGCATTTGCACGTGACAGTATCTCCAAGACAAAACTATTTACAATTCATGGATAGTTTTTGAACAGTTATAAGTGGGCAGTTTCTTAACTATTATAAGTGGACAATTTTTGAACAGTTATAAGTGGGCAGTTTCTTAACTATTATAAGTGGGCAGTTTTTGGAGTGAGAGACATATATGCCCTTTAAG